CGCTAGAACTAGAGCTAGCGGTGTATGAATCTCTGGAAGATGATTCTTCCGAGTCGGTGTTATAAAATTTACTTTTCAACCGCTCGAAAGTTTGTTCTATTTCTGGGTTTTTGTGATATGTGATTTCGTTTATGGAACGATGTTTAACCATAAACTCCACTGAGCTCAGAAAATAGAAAAACACTCTTTATTTTTTTTTTTGTTTGGTATATATACTTTTGTTTGATTTTTCTTGATATGAAATAAAAGAAAAAATTCATTGCCCTTCCCCGGCAACGGCGCCAAATTTGACGTGCACTCGTCGTTAGGTGCACTCAAAATAATTAATCAATACGACACTAATACGTAGTATAGTGTAGTAAGGTTCGTATCCACAGGGAAAGGAATACTTTTCTTTTATATAAATAGTAACAAAAGGGGGTTTAGATTTGTTTGATTTAATAACACTAAGATAAACGACCTATATGAGTTTAATTCAATGAGATGGGGACTTGGTTTTGCTTTTATCCACTTAATGAAATGTTCGTCGATCCCGGTTATATCTTTAACTATCTTCCTCTCGAATACTCAATCGAGGAGTATATCCAGTTCATCGAGGGTAGTTATTAATAACGAGATGCGTTCATTAATAAAACTTACTATCGAGTCAATATAGAACAAGCGCCGTATATTAACTTGATAGTAGCAATAAACTTAAGATGAAAACGATTGAGATTGATAACCTCAACACAAGCGGTTTATTGGTTTAATCAATATAATTAATTCCCCTTGGCATATTAACCATGAGATGCATGCGTTACTATTCCAAGTTTACTACCGTTGAAAGAACCGGCTTAATAACAAGCGTATTAACCGATTGATTCTAGTAATAATTAATATGAGAAACAATACTAGTTGATACTTTAAGTAATGTTTAAGATATTAACATGAAATATGAATAGGAATTAATCAATACTCAAGGAAGAATATTAAAATATATGAATCCTACTATGATTAATATCAAGATGTTAACTAATTGTCATCTTAGTAACACTCCCCAATATTATCATAGAGGAAGAAATACCTATTACTATAACCAATGTCAAGATGTTAACTAATTGTCATCTTAGTAACACTCCCCAACTTTGATATAGAGATAGTATTTTGAAAGAAAGATGTAATATTCAAGGAAGAAGATTAAAGAAAATAACTCACAACTTACAAATTCATTAAGCTTCAAAGTAGCAAAACCAAGATGGAAGAGTTTAGCTCCTCATTTGGAGACTAAACATGATGAAAAATATAAAGAAAGAGATATTCTATGCTGAGCTTAGATGTACAAAGGGATTGGATGTCTTTTTGTGAAGGAAAGGAGGTGTATTTATAGGTTTTTGGGATGGGATTCGGGTACTCGATCGGGTATATACATGGTACCCGATCGAGTATGTGTGTAACACCCGATCCGAGGCATACTCGACCGGTTTCAGGCTATTTTCTAAGTGTATACCCGATCGAGTATATATGAATACCCGGTCGAGTATGCTTAGAAAGTGGTATTCGGGCTATACTCGACCGATCTTCGTTCGCAATTTAAAGGCATACCCGATCGGGTATGTCGGTCTACCCGATCGGGTATAGACATAGAATCGTGGCCAAAATCTTCCCTGCATGTTCCTTTGTCTTCGGATCTGATCCGATTTGAAGTTCCAACCTAATACCCGATCGAGTATAGCTAATACTCGACCGAGTATAGACCAAAATTCAGGATCTTCTTTTGTCTTTGAACTTTTGCACCTTCTCTTCACTTTTTGGGTTCACCAACTGTACTTTGGGTGACCAAAACCTGCTTAAGCTCAGAATATATCTAATCTAACCTATTTACAAGAATTTAACAATCTAATCTATTACACCAAAAGTGTGTAATTTCCAAAGTAAAAGTCAAGCAAAACTAATTAAAAACATAAACATAGAAATGGAAATTACGAACGTATCAAGACGCATGGAGGCGTTTCAAGTCTTTGTTGAAGGAATGGCCCCATCACCGCATTCCTCTTGACCTCCAAATTGACACTTTTTACAATGGCTTGAACTCATCTTGTCAAACTATTGTGGACAACCGAGCGGAGGGATACATCGGCAACAAAACCGAGACGGAAGCTTTTAGAATTCTTGAGTCCATTGCTTCAAATCCTCAACTGCAAGGAGGAGACATCAAGGTAGCGGGAGTGAATGAGATTTCTATCACTCATGAACTAGACAAAAGATTTGAAGAATTTCAAATCAAAGTCCAACAAAATGTGCAAACATCAATTCAAACAGTTTTGCAAGCCGTTATTGGAGGTGTTCAACAAGTAGCAAATGTGGAGAGTGTCTCCAACGTGGAAGGTAACTCATCTCAACATCTTGAGGATGTTAGTTACATGAATTCCTATGGTAACCGGGCAAATCAAGGAGGAAATAATTTTTCCAACAACAATCAACAACGGTACAACCAAGGAAACAATTGGAAGCCACACGGGAATTCTTCAAACCCTCAACCCGGAGCTTCCAAATTTGGGCAATCACAAGAACCTACTGTGGAGGAGATGATGAGGCTTCTCACAAAGAATGTAGCCGCTATGAAAGCCCAAAATGAAGAAAACCATAGTAGAATGGAGGCATCCATTGGGAATATCCACAATCAATTCACCAAACTTGACATGCGTTTTGAAGATCAAAATAGGAAGCTTAATCAACGCATGGACAGCTTTGAGCAATATACCAAGTCCTCTATTCATAAATTGGAAGTTCAAATTGGTCAACTTGCTCAAGAAAGGACCACTAGAGAGCATGGAAGATTTCCCACAACAACGAATGTTAATCCAAGAGAAACGGCTATGGCAATCACTTTGAGAAGTGGTAAGGAAATGAAGGGGGCGGTTATTCAAGATGTACCCTTGGAGAAGCAAGGAGATGAAAAGCTAGATGAGCATGTCTCATTACCACCACCCATGGAAACATATGTTCCCCCTATTCCCTACCCTCAAAAGTGTAAGAAGAAGGATGAGAAAAAACAATTCAAGAAGTTCCTAGACATTTTTACCAAGTTGAGCATCAACATCCCTTTCGCTGAGGCTATAGCGAAAATACCCTCATATGCGAAATTTCTGAAAAATATCCTCAATAACAAGAAGAAGTTAGCGGATTTTGCGACCATACCACTCACGGAGGAGTGTAGTGCTATCATCCAAAACAAACTACCTCCAAAGTTGAAGGACTCCGGAAGTTTCACCATCCCTTGTTCTATTGGGAGTCTAGGAGAAGTAAGGTCCCTTTGTGATCTTGGAGCTAGCATCAACCTTATGCCCCTCTCCTTATTCAAGAAGCTAGGTGTGGGGGAACCTAAACCAACAACTATAGCTCTTCAATTAGCGGATAGAACAATCCGTTATCCCATCGGAGTGGTGGAAGATGTTCTTGTGAAGGTGGGCAAATTCTATCTCCCGGTTGACTTTCTTATTTTAGAAATGGATGAAATGGAGATTCCGGTTATTCTCGGGAGGTCATTTCTAGCCACAGCGGGCGCTCTTATTGATGTCAAGAACGGAATAGTGAAATTCCGTATTGGAGAAGAGGAGCAAGAATTTCATGTTTGGGAGTCCCTAAAGAATCCTCCTAACGACTCCACATGTTTTAATATCAATGATTTTGATAATATACCTCAAGGTACTTCAAAGCGGGAAGCTCAGGAGGATTCTCATATCTACAAGGAGAAGGTTGAAGCATGACATGACAAAACGAAAGGTGAAATCGAGCTTCAAATTGGGCATAAAGTGCTTCTTCATGACTCAAAGTCCCGGTTGTACCCCGAAAAACGGAAATCTCCTTGGTCGGGACCGTTTACCATCACCGAGGTCCAGCCATTTGGAACAATGATGATCCAACAAGGAAGTAATCCACCTTTTGTTGTGAATAGCCATCATTGGAAGCTGCACAAAGAGTACTACACCACCCCCTACCCATCCAAGAAATGATCACGAAGAACGTCCGGCCAACGACGTTAAAGAAGGCGCTTATTCGGAGGCAACCCAATTTCACATCCTTTTTATTTACATGTTTTACTTTTATTTTGTTGTTATACTCCTATTGCTTGTGGACAATGCAATTCAAGTGTAGGGGGGGAGAAAAAGGCAAGAAGTTCGGAGTCTTAAGCGAAAATTTGACAAAAACGGGGCGAAATAGGTGAAAACAACGAAAGCCGCCCGGCCTCTACCAAAAGCCGCCCAGCTTCCATATCAATTCCAGGTATTTTTTCTCGCAAGCGAAAGGCGCCCGGCTTTGGGCGCCGTAGCTTAATTCACAATTATTTAAATCGAAACCCGCCCGGGTTTCGTGTAAGCCGCCCGACTTACGTGTGTAGGCCTGCTATTGTCATGCGAAAGCCGCCCGGCTTTCACCAAAGCCGCCCGGCTTTCGGGGTGCGGAATTGTTAAAACCCCTTCTCTTTTAAACACAAACACACGCACACCTTCCAAACTCCGGCCGACGTTCGAGCTTCAGCAACCTTAGCATCGTTTTCTCTCATTTCTTCCTCTTCTTCAAGCTCAAATCAGGTATTTCTCAATCATTTTCACTCCTTAATCCTTATTTCACAGCTGTTACATCATTTAATCGATAGTTTTGATTGTTCTTCCCAATTTCGAAATTTAGGGTTTATGCAAATTGATAGCTATTAGGCTAAATTCATTGCATGATATCTTGTTATTGTTGCCTATATTGCTTGTATGAACCAATATAACCTCTTTTCAAGTTGTTATTTTCAAAAAATTTGAAATTTTTGCTACTTGATTAAAATTGGGGCTTAGGGTTCGAAATTCTTGTTTAAATTTGGGGATTTTCAATTGAATTATTGTGATTAATTGTTGATGAATGAGATTGTGAGTATGTTGTCCCTTGTTGTCCTAAATTGTGATTATAGTCAATTTTTAGGGGAATCCATGTAAAAAATTTTTGAGAAATTGACTATTATCTTTTGAGTTTATAGGTTGAAATGGCTTCAAAGGGCAAATCTGTGAGAAATGAGGCTGGCCCGAGCAACCCCAAGCGGGCTAGGAACAACAAGGCACCCGCGGCCTCCTCCACCATCTTGCCGGCTATTCGGTTTGTGAACACTCAATGCTACGAGCGTTACCTAGAGTCCCGGGACAACGACTTTGTGATTGAAAAGACAATCTCAGCACCTATTGATCACGAGTTCCAGCTCACCGCGGCCTTCGCCAATATCAATTGGGAACCAGTGCTACATCTCCAAGGCACCTTCTATCCGGAACTCGTAAAGGAGTTCTTCGCAAATGTTGAAAGGAATTACGCTCAAAAGATGATTTAGAGCCGAGTCAAAGGGGTCAAAATTACTATCACCAATGACCTCTTGAGCTCTCAATTTCACATCACCAAGTTCGGCACCCCTTTCGCTCCTTCCCAAGCCGGAACAATGAATAGTGATGGGAACTACAACCCCATGGATGCTATGCAATATTTTGGGTTGCAAGGACTTGATCTAATGACGAAGAACCTTGGCCAACCACACATCCGGACCCGGCTTTTGATGTACTTCTACTCGTTCAACGTCATGCCGAGAGCGAGCATCTACAACAAAATCCGAAGTGTCGACCTCTACTTTGCATATAGGATGCACACCGGGCTTGATCCTCATGAAGGGATTCCTCTCTCGGGCATCATCATCAAGCAATTATGGAGCGCGGTCTTAAGCAACAATCAAGATAAGGCCTTCATTTTCCCTATTTTGCTCTCTAAGATTTTTCAACATTTTGGTGTTAGTTTTAGAGGAGAAGAAGAACGGGAGATGCACGCCGTGCTTGATGATAGTGTCATGACCCACCTCCGCTATTTCCAACCGCCGCACGGAGGACCATGGAGGTGTGTGGCGAAATTCCATAGAGTTGTACCGGAGGAGAATGAAAAAGAGATGATGGAAGGTGGGGAACCCGCGAGAGGCCATGAGGAGCACCATGAAGAGGCAACTCACGTCCCCCAAGCCGGAGCTCCTTACGACATGGACTACTTGACTGAGCAATTTGGTCAAATCCGCACGGAGCTTGCGGTGCATAGACGGGACTTGAGAGATCAACGCCACGCTATCCAAGGAATGGGGAGTCATTTGTGGAACATGAACTACTATTGTCAAGAGCTGGGGAGACATTTCAACATACCACCACCGCCGCCCTACGATCCAAACTTCTTTTTCCCTTCCCGAGAAGAGGGAGATGAGAACGATGAGTAAAGTTGACAACAAAAGGGAAGTGTACTAAAACAATTCTTATCTAGTCTTGCTCAAACTCCAGTTTGTTGTTAATTTGACTCTAATGTTGTCTTTGTGCTATGTGTGTTTAATCTTGCTTTGATTGCTCTTTGTGATCCACATTGAGACATTGTGAAACAAGTGTGGGGGGTGGTCTTTTAACTTCTAAATTGCAGGATTTTTTCTCCTTAATTTGTTCACTTTTGGTCTATATTTATTCAAAAATATTTTAGCAAAACCCTTGTCCTCCAAAAAAAAATTCAAAAGAATTTTTCTTAAGGTTTTGACTTAATAATTCTACAAAAAAAAAGTTTTAAATTTGCTTGAGGACAAGCAAAGCTCAAGTGTGGGGGTATTTGATAAGTGTTTTATTAACGTATTTTATACAACAATTTATAAACGCTTTTATACTTAAAAGAATAAAACTCTCACACATATGTCTCGTTTTGCAAGAAATACTATAACCGACAATTGGATCAAATACGAGGATGAAAAGACACACGAAGAATCCCGACAAGTAAAGGTCAACCAAACGCATCCCGAGAACAAAAGGAAAAATGGAAAATACACCAAAGGGGTGAAAGCCGCCCGGCTTTCACCAAAACCGGTCGGTTTTCACCAACCAGCCATCCAGTTGCCGTCCGAAGATGAAGGAAAAGCATCCGGAGCAAAAAAGACGAAAGCCGCCCGGCTTTCATGAAAGGCGCCCGGCTTTGGGCGCCGTGGAATTTATTCAGCAAATCGAACCAAAAGCCGCCCGGCTTTTGGCGAAAGCCGCCCGGCTTTCGGTCCCTGGAGCGGAGAAGCCTGTTTTAAACTCGCAAAAGCCGCCCGGCTTTTGCGAAAGTCGCCCGCCTTTCGCCTGGAGCTGATTAAAACAAGCAACGGTCATCACAATCATTCGGGCAAAATACCAAATCCCATTACGGAGCTTGCTTCCTTGTCCGAAAATGGTCGTTGAGAACTCAATATTTAAGAGGATTGAAGCCCTCTCAAGAGATTATTCCATATTCTACACACTTTACTTCTACTTTGGCATCCCAAGAGCAACCCCTTGGTCTTGGGAGAAGTTCTACACTTGGGGAAAGCTTTATCCACCATAGCTTTGGAGTTGTGGTATCATTTTCTTATGTATTTCATTGTATTTTATCATTTCAATACTTGTAATTTCATTATCAATTGTTCTAGCTAATTTTCTATAGCCAAGGTTAGGGATGAAACTTTACGCACTCTAGGTGTTTGATGTATGTTCTCAACCAAATTATTATGATCTTTCCTTTATATTTTAATGTGTATGACTACGGTGTACAATGTATGATTATATCGTTGGGTTTATTTGAGTAATTAACGTTGAGTTATAAACCGTGCACTTAAAGGTTAGACATATTCTAATTGTGGATAGAAATATACCTCAATTGAGTATGGTGGTTTTTATGATGTCCTAATCTTCAATGGGGTTAATTTTAGATGAATGTGAACCGTGACGGGATTCACACGTAGAATTAATCACAATCTCGCTGCCGTAACAGGAGTTAGAATACTTTAGTGACATTCCACTCATAAGAATTAGCGAAAGAACATATATTCATCACTAGGAGTCGTTTAGGAGTAATCCCGAACCCTTGGTTGCTTTTATTATCTCTTAAAAAAATCAAAAAGCTTTACTCTTTTCTTAATTCTTTTACTAAACCGCTTTCACTTTTGAATCATATAAACAACGTTTCCTTGTGTTCGACTCGGTATTTTTACCGGAATTTATTACTACATTGGCACTTGTACACTTGCAAGTTTCAGCCGATCAAGTTTGAATAAAGTGTAGAATAAAATTATATATTATCTCTAAAAAACTTAAAAAGATTTGTTTTTAGGGAAAAGGGGCAAATAAGGTCACGTACTAACAAAAAAAGGTCAAGTAAGGCCTTATTTATGAGACTCTGTCCGGCCTTCGCCATTTGGATTGGTTCTAGGTGGAATTTTTTGATGAATTTTTTTTAGAATCTTATTCAGTAAGTCTAGTTTACTCATACCAAATTTAAGCTAAAACTTCAATCGGGAAGCCATTCAAATGAATTCTTGAAGATAATTGCGCAGTTAAAAGCGCAGTTATCTTCAAGAATTTATTTGAATGCCTTCTCGATTAAATTTTTATCTGAAATTTGGTATGAGTAAATTAGACTTAATGAATAAGATGGTCAAAAAAATTAATCAAAAAATGCCACCGAGAACCACCCCAAATGGCGAAGGCCGGACATAGCCTCATAAATAAGGCCTTATTTGACCTTTTTTGGTTAGTACGTGGCCTTATTTGCCGCTTTTCCCTTGTTTTTAAGATGTGTACAGTTATTTAACTTTTTGTGTGATTAAAATAGTATATACCCCGTATATCCTTAAAAAAGTACTACGTATACATATTCAATAGGAAAAATCATTTAAGTACCTTAAACTTTAATGGGTGTGAGATAAACACCACAAACTTGCATATGTAATATATATACCCCGAATTTTATATGAAAAGTTATTTTTGAACCATGATTTTATGTTTTTTTTACAAACACAAATTCGCTTGAATACTTTCATAACTTAAAATAATCCAAGCTTTATTAAAATCCACGCAACATTCTAAAATTTCATTGGTCAAATAAATAATGTTACACTAGGTACAATTTAATTTTAATTGCATCCTCATAAATATTTTGTGTATTTTAAATTATTTATTTAACACCATAAAAATACATTTGTCAAAAATATATAATTATGGCGCGAACATAACTTTTTATATAAAGTAAATTAAAGTTTGGGTTATATATATTACATGTGCAAGTTTAGAGTACTTATCTCACGCTCCTTCAAAGTTGGGGATATTATTTAAATTATTTTCCTCATTCTTAATTCATAGATAAAAGTATATATTTTCTTTGGGGGTTGGTTAGGCGGTTCATATTTCTCCTAGTTGACCTGAGTTCAACTCCTCTGCGCAACAATTTTTCACACTCAGAAATGGGCTTATAAACTGACGAAGATCAAAAGTAGGAAGATTGAGGGTTTCCTTTACCAAGAACATCTGATTTCGGCCAATTTCAAATTTCTTAGTTCAGGGTGGAAGATAATTAAACGGAAGAGGCCTAGTAATCACTTCAAACTTAATGTAGATGCATCGTTCGTACCTGGCTTGGCAACTGGATGAGCTATCTTGAGGAATTGCATTGGTCAAATTGTCTAGGCAACATCCTTCAAGCTCCAGTCGGATTCGAGTGAGGAGGCAGAGATGCAAGCTCTGGTCTATGCAGCAGATTTCGTTATGGCGAAGGGATTTGATGGATTTCAGGTGGAAACTGACTCTGCTCGCTCACTTTCTTGGCTTTTGGAAGACGGGTTAGGAAGGTATACTGGGCTTCAAACATTTCGTAGGAGGGCTGAAGATAAGGGGTTGTCTTTCGGCCATATCTACAGAGACAGAAATGGACTGGCCCATTTCCTGGCGGCTCAAAAGATTCACACAGCCCAATCTTTGTTCTTTGATCAGGTTAGAAACTTGCCTTTTAAGGTTAAATCGAGTTAATTAATATGCTGATCTTTTTGGGTTTCCTCATTTTTGGTTTTAACTTATGCTCTTGTAATTTTCATTTGAAATAGTTAGTCATCAAGGAAGCTGGTTGCATCGATCCTCAGTTGACAAGGACACTACTCTTGAAAAAGACGTGGAGAGCTTCTTTAAGGATAAGGATAAACTTGTTATTGGAGATTACTTAGAGCTTAATTAATGTAGCAGTGGACCCGAGGAACGTGATGTTCCTTGAATCACTATAAAATCCCTGGTGTCACTTACATTATGCTCCTTACTTTCTTGTGCTTAGGATTCTAACTCTCAAGAGTATGAACTCTGCGGCATGACAAATTTCACTCAGAGAATTAAAAGGCAAATCTGCCTTACAAGTGTTTCCAACCTACGACTAGACTCAACTTTGCTTTTAGACCATCTCCAACAATCACCAAATCCGTCACCAAAATAGGGGATTCGCAATTTTTTTGCTCCAATAGCTACACCAAATACTTCACCATTTCACCAAAATAGGGGAGGGGCTTTTGCTTTACGCCATATATGGCGCATCACCATCCTTGCGCCGTCTTTTTTTCTTTCTTTCTTATTTCAAAAGTCACCCCAAGTTTTGATTATTATAGTTTTGACCCATTTTTATAACATCAAATTTAAATTATAAATTTGATACAATATAATAAAGTTTAAATCACACAATATAATAAACCTGATGCAATATAATAAAATTTAAATTATAAATTTTGGTAAATTTAATTGGTCATTAAAAAATATATAATAAAATTATAGTCACATAATACTATAAATAAAGTTTCAAATCGAAACAACATAATGACAGAATACAAATGATACTTAAGAAAATAACATAATTAAAGTTACCATTAATAACACCATCAAAATTAAAAACAACATTATTAAAATCATACATAATACATACTATTTTAGAAACTAATAGCCATTCAACCCGCTTCGAGACCCTCCAAGACCATCAAATAGATTCCAAAATCTAGCTGATGATCCTCCTTGAGATTTTTTGTAAAATTCTCGATTTTTCTGCAATGATATATGTTCGCGTTTCTGGATCGTCAATAGAGTTCAAAACAGGTCACTAGTTTTGCTTAAAATATCCAAGGCTAAAAGATCAAATAGGCCATCGAAATAACTTAAAGTGTAAATCACCCCTTATATAGGAGACTCTGTCCGGCCGTCGCCATTTGTGGTGGTTCCTGGTGAAATATTTTGATTAATGTTTTTGAACATCTTCTTCATTAAGTCTAGTTTACTCATACCAAATTTCAGATAAAAATTCAACCGGGAAGACAATCAAATGATTTTCTGAAATGTACCGCGTTGTTTAACTGCACAGTTATCTTCAAAAATTCATTTGATTGCCTTCCCGGTGGAATTTTTGCTTAAATTCGGTATGCGTAAACTAGACTTAATGAAGAAGATGGTAAAAACATTTCATCAAAAAATTCCATCGGGAACCGCCACGGGGTGAGCAGCAGGCTCAGCAGCATGCTACCCGCTGCTCAGCAACAGTCTGCTGCTCACTCTGTGGCGGTTCCGAGAGGAATTTTTTGATGAATTTTTTTGAGTAGCTTCTTCATTAAGTCTGGTTTACGCATACCGAATTTCAGCTAAAACTTCGTGCTGGAAGGCAGCCAAATGATTTTTTGAAGATAACCGTGCAGTAAAACAGCGTGGTACATTTTAGAAAATCATTTGACTGTCTTCCCGGTTGAATTTTTATCTGAAATTTGGAATGGGTAAAATAGACTTAATGGAAAAGATACTCAAACAAATTCATCAAAAGATTGTACCGGGAAGGGCCCCAAATTCAAGACAAAATCGCTCATATTGAACACCGCAATGCTTTAACTGATCATTTGTGGGAACAATTCTCAAATTCCGATAACTAAACTAAGAATATTTATTTAATTTATTGCATTAACTTTAAGTATTACTTTATTAATTACGTATAAACTACTATAATATTATTGTAATATTTAATTTTATGTGGTTTTACCTTGTATTTGTGAAATATTGATTATATATAGTACTACGTAGTATTTTAGTTTGTATTTGTGAAATAATGTGTGAAATGCCAAAGTACATATTAAATGAGGGGCTAATGTATAAATATATGATAATTACATAATTAAATATAATAAAGGTAAAAAGTAAGTATAAAGAATAAAAAAGGAATATTCATTTTTGGTGATGAAAATGGTGTAAAGTTTTGGAGATAAAATAATGTATGATGTGATGTTTACACCATTTTAGTGCAAAAAATGGTGTAAACTGTTGGAGATGGCCTTATGGGACTAAATCTTACAGATTTACTCCAAACTCTTTTGATTGACAGATTCCATCAGTAAGAAAGAAAATTTTAAAACAATCTATTCATCCCATCTAGACTATCTCTCCATCTTTTTGGTTATCCTTTGAACACATATGCACTAGTTTTTTGTTGTTTCTATTTATTATTCTTATACTCACTCCGTCCGTTAACATTGTCCCATATTTCCTTTTTTGTTCATCCCACTAAGATTGTCTCATATTAAATTTGATGGAATTTGTGTAGTACAAATCATTCTTACTTTATCAGATCAATATCAATCACATAAACCTATTTTTTCTTAATAACCGTACCACCTCCTCATGTTCAATGTTAGTGGGAGAGTGGTGGTACTTAATTGATAGTATGTGCAATTGATAGTATTAAGTTTTAATATTAAAAGTTAGTTAAGTGACATATTGGTTCAATGTTTCTTTTAGAAGAATGATTGTGTTCTTTTGAAAAGAAAGTGAATTGATTGCTTTTTTTAACTATATAATACGGAGTATTTGTTCAATATTAAATGTCAACATTCTTGAATTGAGATGTGATCGTAACTTGGGAGCTTTCTTTAACTTGGGGGTGTCAGATGTGATAGATGTGTAACTATAGTGTGTGTTTATAAGCAAATACGTAGTTCAAAATATAGTAGAATGCAAAATGAAAAATATAGTAGAAAGGATCGAATCAAAGATGTCAATTACACATATGCCATTATTGTCACTCAACCAATTAACATTCACTCAACCAATTAACACATTGCTCACAATATTTATTGGTACCCGGCACGCATACTTGGCAGTACCTAGCTACCATATGCACATTTTGGATAGTACTATCCCCGTTCCATTTTAATCGCAATATGTTGAATTTTACACCACATATTTACATGCTCTACTTTGATTATATTTTACGCTATTATTTTATGAAAATTATTTTTTAAAAAAAAATATTGTTCAATTCATCTCATTACAAATATTCAAAATCTGATTTTTAATATTCTTTTTACTAATAGAATTAAGATATAATTACGGTCAAAGACGTGCGTTGATAAATGTGAAATATTGACCGTTGCACCTAAAAAAACGGAAGGAGTATAATTTACGAGAGGGAGAAGTGTATACATTCGTCATAATATATTGAATATGTGCATTTTCAAATAAATCTAAGGAATATAAAGTTAAGATTACATTTTACACACACACAACACACAAATTGACAGAAAAGACGGAAGAAGCTACGATCTTAGAAGCTGTTCTCTTCGTCTTAATCTTATTACTTATTCCTTATTCTTATTTTATTCAGATCAGATCAGATCAGAAAGATTCAGATCAGATCAGATCAGATCAGAAAGATTCAGATCAGATCAGATCAGATCAGAAGCATTCAGATCAGATCAGAAGCATTCAGATCAGATCAGATTAGTTCAGAAATTATTATTACTGTTATTATTACTATTATATAATATTATATATTACTGTTATGTTTTACGGAGTAATTTTTAGTATTGTTTTTTTAATAAATGCTAAAATTGAGTAATCTCTACCAATCCATCTAATCTAAATATATAATACTGTCACCATTTGATCGAGAAGAATGAATTGAAGTACAAACATTTATTCAATATCAACTTGCGATTATGATATCAACTTTCGCACTGCACAACTTTATCCGTCTTTACGAGTTGGATATTCCAATTTCAAGTGCAATCAAATATTATTATTATTATTAAAAAGGTTATTAATACCACTACTTATTATTATTATTATTATTATTATTATTATTACTACTACTACTACTACTACTACTATTATTGTTATTATTATAATTATTATTATTGTTACGGAGTATTATTTTTATTATACTTATTAAATAATAATAATAATAGTTATTATTACGATTATAATTATTATTGATGTTATTATTATTATTGTTATTGTTATTGTTATTATTCTTATTATTATATACCAATTTAGAAAGTTAAGATCAGATCAGAAACATTCAGATCAGATCAGAAACATTCAGATCAGACCAGACAGATTCAGATCATATCAGAAACATTCAGATCAGATCAGACAGATTCAGATCAGATCAGATCAGATCAGAAAGATTCAGATCAGATCATATCAGATCAGAAAAATTCAGATCAAATCAGATCAGAACTTAAAAAATTCAGATCAGAAACATTCAGATCAGGTGAAGAGAACAGCTTCTTAGATACATAGTTATATACGATAACATTTAGCCATTGTTGCAAAGAAATGAAACAAATAAAAATCATTAAAAAGAAAGTGTCCACGCTAGCTAGCTATACAATGCTTGCTTTTTTATAGATTGATTATTTCCATGCACAAGAGGCAACCAAGTCCCTATCCTTCCAACCAAGATAAAGGGTGTCATTCCTCACTTCAAGCCTATACGTGTTGGAATAGTTGGCTAATAGTTCCTTGATTGTCCGGTTCACTTGAGGGTTCAAAGGGTATGGGCGAAAACCGGCCATCAAAAACCGCGATTTCCACTTCCCCATAACCTCGTGCCTCTCCACCCTATCCGTCCCCTCACAAGAGACTACGTTGACAACTCCTTTCGCCAAACAATGCTGCTCCACGAGTATGCGGTTCTTGTGATCCCTTTGGAGAGTGGCGTCAATGGACTCGAACACAGCTGTGTAGTAATCCAAGGTCTCAAGGAACCTGGGCAGGAAAGGGGCCGTGTTGGTGTTGGATTCTTGCTCCACGAGGGTGACCACCTTCGGGTTCAAGCTCCTCACTTGCCTCAGCAGCCGGTCCCGGTGGTTCTGTGTGCTCACACTCTCATCCGGCACGCGGTGTAAAATGAACCCGAAGTTCACGGCCAGTGCTTCCCCAGGGTGGATCCTCAGGTTCTCTAGACGGACCTCGTTTTCGTACATGTACGCGTGGTGGAAATCGAATGGGACCTTGCAGGACGCAGCCAGATGGGATAGCTTGACCCCCACGCCATCATCTGCCGAAGATGAAATCCCATCTATCCCGGTCATTCTGATGTGGGGTGGCCCGCCTGGGCGTCTGGCAAAAGCTTGTATCAGGCTCACCCATTGGTTGCCTTGGCCGATTTGGAAGTCGATTATGTGAACCCGGGCTTCACCCTTCATGGCGTCTGCAATGGAACCATTAGCCGACATGTGGCCGAATTTAAAGTACGGGCAGACCTCGTATAAGATGTGGCTGAACGTAACAGTTTCGAAAAATCTCGGGTCTCGGAATCCCATGGACGTGTAGATGTAACTCCCCGGTGCCGCCAAACGCGCCACAAGTCCGTCTAGCATGTACGCTCCGACCCTCTGGATTGGGTCACCTGTCACGGAAACCATTTTCCGTAGCTCGCCCACCAAACATCTCGCGGCGGACCAGTCGCTCACCGAAACCGCTTTTGCGCATGCGATTAGAACCTGTTTTATATCCCCGCCTGTTATTGCCTCCATCATTTGGGTCCAACAAACCGTTTCTTGAGGATCAATTTCCGGGTCTGGGTCTGGGTCTGGTCCGAGCATAACGCTTTCTAGTTCCCTTAGCTTGTCTTCGAAGTAATTATTTGTGTCGTCGTCAGTGGGGATGAAAGATGGAGTTGAAATAGAGACATAATTATTATTAGTCATCTCTGCAAAGCATGAATGTGACGCCGACTCTGCTGCAGGTTGCTGCATCGCATGTGGCGAACGATAGCACAATGTGTTCGGAGTGTTCATTCTTAATTTGCAAGTAATCAAAATTGATAGCCGATTGAAGGAAGAATCGCTTTCAAATTGAAGAACATCATCTACAAGCAGCATGAGGTAATTAAACAAAAGTTAATTAATCAGCTCCTTCATGTATATACACATAAAATTATTATACATTGCATGTTTGTTGATTGATGGAATTAATTAACTTAAAACACTCTAATTCAAACTTGACGTAACCCCTCATTTATTTTGAGAATCATTTTTTTTTCCAAAAAAAAATATGATTTTGCATAAGAATTCTTATGCATAAGATCAGAGTTCTTCATATTTGATTTTGAGGGGATATGATATACTATCGTATGTGATTTTGTACCAAATACTACTCGTACTATTAATTTTATCCACATTTGAGTCGCATTAATTACATTATCAAAATCGTTAAATATTGTATTGTTACATTTGAAAACATGCAAAAAATGAAGCCCAAGTTTTATGATTTCTGAAACAGTATGCAAAATCAGTTTCTGTTGGAAAAAGTGTACTGGCCGTTGGAAAACAATAAAAGGGGCCTAATATGTAATTAATTAAAATGTGTTTACCATCAGATAAATAATACAGTGGCCATTCATGAAATAATAAAAGTGTAGATACCAGGATAATATATTTCTTTTGGTGACGGGTCAAATTAAATATATTATACTAAAGTGATACAACGGTTATGACCCCCGGTGCGTGTAAATTAAGAGATAACAGTAAAGATATTGTAACGGAAAATGGCCTAATAAATTATTCTAAATAATATCATTATTGCAACAATAATTAAGGAATTATTATTAGGAATAATAAGAGCCAACCGTTACAATATTGAACTAGTCCTATATATATCCCATCTATTATAGGATTAGGATATCTCATATATACATTGCTACATAGCACTGGAAGGTTAGCTGATTAATCACGTTGAATTCCTGGGTTCTTCTTAAAGTGATAATGCAAATGAATTCTCAAGGTATGATTCTAATTTTAGTTCATACATATTTGATTTCATGGATTTATATGGATTTAGCTATTATATATTTATATATATATATATCGCATATGGAGTTTTGTTGATATATGTATGAATATCCATCAATTGGTATCAGAGACTACCATTATAGATCCATGAAACTCTTCATTGATATGCATTCATCGTTATACCTAGAATTTTTATTTTGAATTAGTGAATTCTCAAGTTTTATTTTTGTATGAAATGATTCGATCATGTGCATCTAATCATCGGATAAGTGATAAATTTCTGAGGATTTTTTTTATTGTCGATCCTGTTTTCCGCTGATGTATATTTATCATTACAGATTCATTTCTTTTATCAGCAATTCAATGCTTCAGTTCCTTTTGTTTTTCAAGTATTGATGTACGATTCATTTCATGATTGAATTCTCAAGATTAATTACTTCATGTCATTTGCACCACTTGGAGTCTCAAACATGAATATAATTCAATGTAAATGTAATGTTAAATCATTAGTTTTACACGTACGTATACATTGATGGTGCTGAGTGAATCTATTTATTACACGTAATGAATTAATTTTTAGCCATATGAAACCGTTTATGCCATTTATATGCTACGGTGTAATTTAATCCAATGACTCTATGAGCATACATGTGTTGTTATATTATGAATGATGAAGTCATCATTTTAAAGCTTAATTGATATAGTACAATTGAATTGAATTCTGTATGCATGTCCAAATATAAATTTGATTGCAATTTCATGATATTTTTCAAATGAAATTACTACGTATGTATTAAGTTGATGCTGATCTATTATTATTTTTTGGGATCGATTAGCAACTTGTTTTAAGTTTGATTAATTCCATGTTTATCATCAAACTTGTGAATTAAATTGCCGCTGATCATGTATTTTTGATTGACGTAAGCCAATTTTAAAGTAGTATTGTGGTAAGAATTTTTGAACTGTGATGAAATTGTAAAATAAAATGAGTTTAATATTTAAATGGGTATATGGAAACAATATGTCACCAAAGTGATCCTATTGTGTAAGTTGCTCATATAAAATATTAAACATAGTACATACTTTGTATATAGTTCAAGTAAATATTAATCGTCCCAAAGGAAGATTAGTATTTTATCAAGTCACATATATACATTTTGGTAATAATATAAATATGACAATTATAAGGTTGCACTTTAAAAGAAAAAGTCAACCCAAAGGTAGATTTTTCTTTTATATGTATTATTGTTATATTTTATTGTTACAACAAGAGTACCACTAGCAATTACTATTATTGTCCAAAGATGAAATACTAATGGTGCATTTGGTATCTTGTGATGGGTTAAAATCATTTTACAATTTCACTAAAACATATGTTTGTTATCCTTGTTCTTTCCACAGTTAATTTTGCGAGCATATCTGCCAATCTCAACTCCATCCATGTCCTAAATGGTACTAATTTTAAGGAATGGAAAGAAAATATTCTAATAACTTTGGGCTGCATGGATCTTGACTTAGCATTAAGGGTAGAGCAACCCGCTTCTCTTACGGATGCTAGTACCCAAGATGAAAAAAGGTACTATGAGAAGTGAGATCGCTCGAATCGCTTAAGTCTTATGATCATAAAGCGTGACATTCCAGAATCCTTTAGGGGTGCTGTATCCGATGAGGTTACTAATGCCAAGGATTTCCTTTCTGAAATTGAGAAACGTTTTGTTAAAAGCGATAAGGCGGAAATAAGCATGTTGTTAAAAGACTTTACTTCCAAAAGGTATTCAGGAAAAGGAAATATAAGGGAGTATATTATGGAAATGTCTTATATTGTTTCTAGGCTCAAGACACTTAAGATTGAGATATTGGAAGATGTTCTCGTACACATAGTCTTGAACTCTCTTCCTATTGCATTTGATCCTTTTAAGGTTAGTTATAACTGCCAGAAGGAGAAGTGGTCTCTTAACGAGCTCATTTCATATTGCGTGCAAGAGGAAGAGAGGATTAAACAAAATAAGACAGAAAGTGCTCACTTGGTTAGCACCTCTAAGGATAAGGGTAAAAAGAGGAATAGAACTCCCATTAAGAATGAAGTTGCTAAAACAAAATAAGATAGAAAGTGCTCACTTGGTTAGTCTCGATCAGTGTCCTAAAACAAATCTGGAAATTCAAGAAATGAAAAAGATTCCCTACGCATCTGTTGTAGGAAGTCTTATGTATGCCCAAGTTTGTACGCGTCCGGATATTGCGTACATTGTTGGGATGCTAGGCAGATATCTCAGTAATCCAGAAATGACTCATTGGGTGGCGGCAAAAAGAGTTATGAGATACTTGAAGAGAACAAGAGACTATATGCTTACATATAGAAAATCAGATCATTTGGAGGTCGTTGGATACTCTGACTCTGATTTTGCCGGCTGCAAAGACACTAGTAGATCTACTTCAGGCTATGTTTATCTACTAACGTGTGGTGTTGTATCTTGGAAAAGTGTTAAGCAAGATATGATAGCTACCTCAACTATGGAGGCAGAGTTATTGGCCTGTTTTGAAGCTTCAAACCATGGAATATGGATGCGCAATTTTATTGATGGGCTAAAAATATTAAATGAAGTTCCAAAGTCTATCAAGATATTTTGTGACAACAATTCTACGGTGCTTTACTCTAACAACAACAAGAGCTCGAGTAAGACAAAACACATTGAAGTGAAATATCGAGCTATTAAAGAAAGGGTTCAGAATAAAAGGGTCGTTATTGAACATATAAGTACAAACTCCATGCTAACGGATCCTTTAACCAAGGGTCTCCCACCAAAAGTTTTTCATGAGCACACTGCTCACTTGGGAGTCTTTGATTTTAAGGAACACTGAGTTTAGTGGGAGTTTATAAGTTATGTTTGATGTATTTTTTTCTGATCAGAATAAAGTTTGACATTTGGTGTATTCTGAACAATTAAGTCATTAAAGTTTAAAGTTTATTAAAGAAGGGTCAGTTGAAAATTTACATGTACATGCCACATTTCATGTAATTTTCATGCTACACATTTCATGATTGATCTATGTCATTATGTTATATTGATACTAGTAATCATTGGTGGTATAGTTATGTTTAACATGACAAAATACTGCAATGGTTCTATATTAGTATGTCTGATGGACAATATTGTTGAAGGATGTTATTTTATGATGGTATTTTTGAGCTCATAAAGATAACACATTTTATTAAGAATTACATATAAGGCCCAGTGGGAGATTGTTGGAAAACAATAAAAGGGGCCTAATATGTAATTAATTAAAATGTGTTTACCATCAGATAAATAATACAGTGGCCATTCATGAAATAATAAAAATGTAGATACCAGGATAATATATTTCTTTTGGTGACGGGTCAAATTAAATATATTATACTAAAGTGATACAACGGTTATGACCCCCGGTGCGTGTAAATTAAGATATAACAGTAAAGATATTGTAACGGAAAATGGCCTAATAAATTATTCTAAATAATATCATTATTGCAACAATAATTAAGGAATTATTATTAGGAATAATAAGAGCCAACCATTACAATATTGAACTAGTCCTATATATATCCCATCTATTATAGGATTAGGATATCTCATATATACATTGCTACATAGCACTGGAAGGTTAGCTGATTAATCACGTTGAATTCCTGAGTTCTTGTTAAAGTGATAATGCAAATGAATTCTCAAGGTATGATTCTAATTTTAGTTCATACATATTTGATTTCATGGATTTATATGGATTTAGCTATTATATATTTATATATATATCGCATATGGAGTTTTGTTGATATATGTATGAATATCCATCACTAGCTAGTATAAGTTGTACCGGTGTAGATCTAACTCTACTTTTATTTTATGTGACCCTTGTTCAAGTAACTTATCATATTAAACTTGCTTCATAATAAAGTCCACTAGGTATGAAGGCATGCATTATAAGGCTAACCGCAACCTAGACTGTCAAAAATTTTAATTGTCGCCAGTTTATAACGGATTCACTCAATTAATTGTGCATTTCTCTGTAACCCAGCATTGTCAATATATTTACTCAGCGTACTTTA